AAATTAATTGCTGTAGAAACAGATTACTGATGTGATGGAAAAAATTATAATCAAACATCATTAACTGAAACTTTAATGTGTATGAATGTAACATAACCTTAAATCACTGGATGATGGGCTCAAGATCTGCAGCATTTAAAATGAGATGTTGTGGTCACATTTAGAGCTTTCTAAGTGTTACTGATACCTAGTGTTCTGCATTTTCAGGTTTGTTTTTTTTAAATCTGGGAGTTTTTCAGGGTTTATTTTCCAAACATAAAAACCAGGTTGCAATCAGGATAAAAGGAAGAAAAGAAAAAGTCAGTTTAAATCAGGGAAAATAATAATGTGTGGCAGTGGACGGAGGGAGGGAGTAAGGTTGGGACTAGGGGAGGGGTGTGGCGCAGCCCGTCTGCCACTCCTAGGGCGGCAGCAGGGAGCAAAGTGGAGGGCAACTGTCAGTGGATGCAGGGTGTGGGGGGGCACGGCTCTTGCTGCTGCGTGCTTGTTCCCACTCACCTCTACCCTGCTGCGGCGGTCCTGGGACGTTGCAGGGCAGGGGGCTGTGCCAGGCTATTCCCGGGGTGTGTGCGCCCGTGGATCTGTGCTCTGGATGAGAGCAGGCTGCCGCTGCAGGCTGGGGTTAGCGGCAGCACTGGGCTCTTCCTGGTGCTTGGGGTGGGCAGCAGCCTACTCTTGTCCGGTACGCAGATCTAGGGGCACATGTTCCCCTGGCAGAGCCTGGTGCAGCCCTGCAGTCCTCCCAGGGTGCAAGTAGCAGCAAGAGCCATGCTTCCCTCGGCCCTGCACCCACTGACTTTGTTCCCTCTGCAGCTGGAGTTGGCCATTCTGGGCTGCTGCAGCAGGGGCTGGGGTGAGTGGGTACATCCACAGCCCTGGGGGGCATGGTGTGGCGCAGCTTGTCCCCACTCACCCCAGCCCCTGCTGCAGTGACCCCGGGAGCAGCTGACAGCAGCTGCTGGGCTGTGCCATGCCACGAACCCCCTGAGGCTGTGCTTGTCTCTCTTTACCGCAGCCCCTGGGCCATGCTGTGGTGCAGGCAGCTGGCATCAGCTGATCCCAGGACTGCTGCATCAGAGTAGGGGTGAGTGGGAACAAGCGGAGCCCCAGGGGGTGTGGGGTGTGGTGCAGCTTGTCCCTACTCACCCCAACCCCTGCTGCAGCAGCCCCGGGAGCAGCTGACACCACCTACCTGCACCACAGTGCAGCCCAGGGACTGGGGGAGTGGTGTGTGACCGGATGCAGAAGGGGGGGCCCCGATCCCAGCACTGGCACATCCCACCCCACCTGGGGTCAGAGCTGGGAGCCCTGTACCCCCAAGCAGCAGCTCCAGCCATCCTATCCCGGCCCCCCGTGCAGCCACTGCCCTCCGCCCTGCATGTGGCTGTTGGTGCCGCCCCCCCCCCCCCC